GGTATATTATTTATGGTAGTGAATGTTATTTATAAACGAATGTAATTACATCCTGCGTAACATTCCGACTAATAGAAAAGTTAAATTGGTCTCTATGCAAAACACAATATACCGAAACGCATTAGATGTTGTAACAACTGCATAAGAGAGATATTTCTATTGTAATAACAAATGCAGAGAAAATTGTGAAGCATAAGTAATCCGAGCAAGTATTGAATAAAATAATTTGTTATACACGTGCAATCGTAGATGTGATTACGTTATTCTTACGAATATTATAAACGACGTATTACAATTTGATACATTAATTTATTTAATAACTTTTACAGTATATTTATCTATACAACGATGCGAACACCACTTCGATCTCGATAACGAGACGCATACAGCGTTTACATCTAATAATTTAAAAATCATATTTCTTATTGGTACGACCACTACCGACTGGACCGTGGCGTCGTTCCCAGATCATACGATGCTTTTGCTTCATATAGGCATCTATTGCACCACCAGTTACTCCAAGATCTCCATCTGTGGTTCATTATCAAATATATCAATTAACTCCGTAAATAAAATCATTTAGTATATGCAGAATTTAAAGTAACGTGTGAAATCCAAAAAATGAGAACAATTAGACAAAGTCTGAACCAAGACAATCCTGGTTTTGTTCAGGCAAAACGCTTTCAATTCTTGTGTGGTTTATTAAACATTTTAATTACTTCCGTAAATCGAATCATTTTCTATATGCAGAATTTAAAGTAAATTGTGAAATCCCAAAAATGAAAACAGTTAAACCAAGTTTGAACTAAGACAATTCTAGTTCCTTTCAGATAGAACTCTTGCAATAGACTTAGAGCAGGTTCACCCAATATTGTTTGGAAATTGTCTTCCATTCAGACTTTAAGTAAATTATCTCTGGTTCCGTGTACAATGTATACATTGTATGCTTATATGTACATTTTATAAACCATGCAGTGGTTGAGTCCTGGTAGGTGTCATACAAATCTTTGCAGTACTTATCCTTATCATCACCGTAGTACCAAGCACAATCTTCATATCTCTGTCTCAATATGCTAAGAATCTCGTCTTCTACTAGCCTAAATATTAAACGTTCAGTGTGTGATTTCGTCTATTCTTTAACACGTAGATCTCGGTTTTTAATAAGAGACATACCTATCACGTTCAAATTGCTTTTGTGCCTCGTAGCGACAGATCATGTCCAATTCGTAGCATTCATCGATTGTTGGGACCCGACGAAACTTTTGATGATACCATGGATATTTCTGTTGATTCGGCGCGACTATCTTCTCTGTTTCAGACAAAAAGATTTATACTGTCATCCTCTCTGGTTCAATGACATATATTTAAATAAACTGATCACATAAACGAATACTGATCACGTGCTAATGTAATTGAGATTTCATTAAGAAGACGTGACAAACACTCTTTGATAACTGAAAATGTTTTAATAGCAGAGACTTGCTAATATAACCAATAGTTAACTGATTAGATAATACCTCGGACATATTCAACCGGTGTATCTAATAGGTAATATATTGTTTTCATAAACCGTTGGAAACTATTCTGATCGTCCGTGTCCACCATTCTTCCTATAAATCAATTCACAAAACTAATGAAAGTTGTTTGAATTAGAAAACGAGGATAGATTCGAAGTTGTATGATCCTTCGTTTCAGAGGGATCATAGGGACTGTGTATACTGGGTGACACAAAAAGAATTTCCAGATTCAGACACATTGTGTTTCATTTATTTTTATAAAGAATTTTATAATAAAAGTCTTGCATTTCATCGTTATCCATTATAATTATTATAATTTATTTTCGAAATATCATTTGGATTTCGCATAGTTCTCTGTTCTAATGTTGGTACTTCCTATACCGAAGCTATATAAGCCGGAGTACAGGAAGCGAGTCCTCCATTTTCATCGTTGCAAGGAAGATGGTAAGTTCGTAGATCGTTACTCAACAATTTAATGCAATTTAACGTGTTTTATTCAAATTATTTAAAATATTACATCGATACTCTTTTCCAAGTAATTGTTTATCAAAATTCACTTGCAATTCCTTTCAAATTAATAAGGATTGATTAGATTTCGTAAAGTAAGTTTCTCGTTTGCTGGCCACGTGTTTCGTGATGATATTCCTTTATAATGTTTATGGTTTTCAAACTGAAGAACCTTGAAGATAATTTCTAGGGCGGTCTGATTATTTTGTAAAATTATATCTGTCGTTACCATAAATTACATTTTATTAACAAAAACTACGGTTTGTGTAGTCTCACCGGAAGTTCAGTGCACCGCGTCATGGATCTATGGGATTCTATCCCAAAAAGAGATCCCAGAGGCATCGTGGAAAGGTGAAGGCTTTCCCCAAGGATGATCCGAATAAACCAGTGCATTTGACTGCTTTTATCGGTTACAAAGCCGGTATGACCCATGTCGTTAGGGAAGCTGATCGTCCAGGGTCCAGTGAGTAAATTATATTCTCATACATTTCGAATTCATAATGAAATATTTCGATATATTTGGATATAAAAAGCGGTTAAATTTTGTTTCGGAGGACACATCTTTCTTTTGCATACCTCGTAAAACGTTGAAGCATTTAATGTATCGCGTATTCTTGCATTTTATTCCTATCCGACACGATGACCTTGGTTTGATAAACGCAGAAATGCGTTGGTCAGCCTCGGTTGCGGTCCAAGAGCTGCTTGATTTTGTGCAGTACGGTCTAACCGCAGTGTCGAAGAATAACTCTGTGCCCTGCGCAAGCAGCGAGCAAGGAGCCACGGCATATTCCATAAACTCTTTGGAACCCATTGGGTGATGACCACTGAGATAAACCATGTCGGGGACAGTCCCATCAATGTTTCGTTACATAGTGTCGACAGCTTTATGTATCTTTATAATTCTAGAATGTTATGTTTTCTTCTTGCAGAGGTAAACAAGAAAGAGATTGTGGAATCAGTTACCATACTGGAAACACCACCTATGATTGTCGTTGGTGTAGTTGGCTACATCGAAACTCCACACGGTCTGCGTGCTCTTACTACTGTTTGGGCAGAGCATTTGTCGGAGGACTGCCGCAGACGATTTTACAAGAATTGGTAAGTAACAATAAATTCTTCGTATTCCTGTTAAAATTCGATATCTCGCATGTGTCAAATAGTTGCATATTATTTTTTTTAAAACACATATTAAACGTAACTCGAAACTAGCCCTCCGCTCATTTCGATGAGGGTAAACGTTTGGACTTGGCCACATAGCGAATGCTATGAGCGGCTGACCCAAAAGTGTGTCCAGCCTCCGCTCATTACGATGAGGCTGGCACGTTACAGATGAACGACGGATTAGTGGATTGTTCGCGACAAAGACAGCGATTGTAGTTACTTTTCTACAGGTACAAGAGCAAAAAGAAGGCTTTTACGAAGGCATCGAAAAAATGGCAAGATGATCTTGGCCGTAAGTCGATTGAAAGTGACTTCAAAAAGATGATGAAGTACTGCAAAGTTATTCGAATCATCGCTCACACTCAGGTAATTTTCTTATCTATTTAACCAGAGTGAACCAGCTATATTAGTATATATGTTGGCTAATTTTTTGAAAAGAAAAGTGGATAAACATTTTTCTTTTACACATTTGTGTTTAGATGAAACTGTTGAGACAACGTCAAAAGAAAGCCCACATCATGGAAATTCAATTGAACGGCGGTACCATCGAACAAAAGGTACAATGGGCTCGTGAGCATCTGGAAAAACCGGTTCCGGTGAATAACGTATTCGCTCCGGACGAGATGATAGACGTGATCGGTGTTACGAAGGGAAAAGGATACAAAGGTAAAATAACTCTGTTCCTTAATCTCACGTAAACTCAGTATTCGTGAAAGAAATGGACTAAATGATGACGAAGCATGAAAATGTGGTATTATCTGATCATTTTGACGATACTTCATGCTGCCTTCCTACTGAAGAGTCCTTAATAATAGAAACTTCCTCTGTTTTAATTTAATAACTTGTTAGCAATTAATATCTAACGCATTCATTTTCATTGAAAGACTAAATAACTACTTATTAGTGTAGTATAGTTTAGTATTGCCCAGGAAGTCCGTTTTTATAGAAAGTTTAATCCATCTATTGAAAAATGGTACGAACTTTCCGGACAGCTTTTAACAACTTTTAATCTTTTAATTAAAACTTTGGAATTCTGTGATTAATGAATAATATATGTGTAGTTTGGTGTTTTATCTTTTATATTGTAGCCTGATGTTTCATCTTTTAACAGGTGTTACATCTCGTTGGCATACGAAGAAACTGCCACGTAAAACGCATAAAGGTTTAAGGAAGGTTGCTTGTATCGGTGCTTGGCATCCGAGCCGCGTGTCTTTCACCGTCGCGCGTGCCGGTCAAAAGGGATACCATCATCGTACAGAAATGAACAAGAAGATCTACAGAATCGGGCAAGGAATACATACTAAAGACGGCAAGGTATGCATCCCTAAGTCTTTTTCATTAATAAGAAATGTTGCCTCTTCCCTATGTTACTTTTCAGTCTCGAAGGAGGTAACTTCATAAGAGGCATATACTAATTACTTGTGTCATAGTACCTAAATGCATATTATTTGTGCTTTAGATCTCCAAATCAAGTGACACTTTCTATTTAAAATTAAAAGTTTCGAAAGTACAGCTACTCAAAACACTTTATTTGAAATTTGATGATGGGTGTACCCTTATTACATATTCTACACATTTATTTAACCGTATATAACTAATCATTTTTCGTATTCAAGATCGTAAAGAACAACGCCTCGACCGAGTATGATCTTACCGAGAAGACTATCACTCCCATGGGAGGATTCCCTCATTACGGTGAAGTGAACAACGATTTCATCATGATCAAGGGTTGCTGCATGGGACCGAAGAAACGTGTCATCACGTTGCGTAAGGTAGGAAGTTTGGTTCCCGTTTATCGAAATTCTATTGTCATATTTTTATGATGAACAAGAAGAGAGCCTAAATAATTTTACATGAAATCCAAAATGATATTTAATGATAGGACTGAATACATGCTCAGTTTAAATCCGATGCGTCTTATGGACATGCGATTATACAATTCATGATCGCTCCTTTACAGTCGTTGCTGGTACACACGAAACGATCCGCGCTGGAGAAGATCAATCTTAAGTTCATCGACACCAGCTCCAAATTCGGACATGGTCGCTTCCAGACTGCGGCTGACAAGGCTTCGTTCATGGGTCAGCTTAAGAAGGATCGCATCCGTGAGGAGCAAGCGCAAGCAACTACTTCTGCACCGTCAGCTGCGACCGCGTAATACAATTATCAATATAAGGAATTCCTTATTCGATGAACAATAAAAAAACTTAAAAAAAAAAATTATCTTTAGGGTGAAATAATTATATACATCCAATCATCCCTTTCCAATTTAAATAACCCTCTCTGCTGTATGAAGCGAATATTTATTCATCCATGAACTGCCTGGTCACAGTATTAAAAATTATTCATGTAGACATATAAGAATATTATGATTCATTTGTATTGTAATCAAGTTCAACTACTGTTATAAATTATTCTATTCTACATAACATTACTGTGTTTGTTAGTATTTGAAAGTTCAAAGTTAAAGATATTTGTCAATTTTGCGATACTGAGCAGACGAGAAATATTCATAACGTTTGTTGATAGAAATTTAATTTTTGTATGTGTGCATGTCAAGTGGGCTGGGAATCGTGAAATTCTGGGCGTGAGCAATCTCATTTCCTCTCCGATATAAATGACAAAATATGAGAAAGATTATGAGATGTAGCGTATATATTATTCCTTTAAAAAAATGATCGACAAAGAGGAGGAAAAATCGAATCTAGAAATCTGACGAAGTAATCAATTCTTTTAAACATCAAACTGGTGAACCCGGCTCTTTAACAAGACAAAAGGGGAATTCGTAACTGTAAGCCACCCTCCTACGCAGCTCGTAGCTTCCTTGATCAAATAAGGAGCGTTTATATTAAACAGAGGGAATATCGATACACACCGGAAGGAGTTAATGTAATCTAACTGTATACCGTCACCACTTTCAATTACATCCGCACTACTCTAAATCTCTTATCAAAACGTATGGTTGTATTGATTGTACGTAAGACATGTCCCACAGATGTGTGCATTTCATGTAACAAACAACTTGGTTTCGTTTACGTACGCATACAAAGCGAACGGATGACACGCTCGCGCATTGTCTATTTGGTAGAGCAGCAAACTTCAAGTCAGTGCACTCCGTTCATAAAGCGATTTCTATACAGACAATTTTACGTGTGTGGACATATATATATGTACAGTTGCTCGTCTCGTCTGTATACAAAGAACGAGATTATACGGTTGAAAATGTTACTTCCTTGATTAGGTGACAGTGCTTTTTTCCTAGACCGTATCCCAAGCCCGTCTGCTTCAGGATTTCACGTGGTGTACGACGTTTCACTGAGAATAATGCCAGGGTGAGGCACATGAAATCTGTTTACGTAGACGTGTGACGTGTGACACGTCTGTCAATTTAAAGAGATCTAGCGCTTCAAAGATAAGATATCACCTGTACTTCGCACGCAATTGATCTACCTTTAATTTCCGTCACCGAACACGTGCTACGATGGCAATCGGTGTAAATGAAATCCTTCGTTGACACGTATACCTTCCACTTGTTTCACCGTGAATCAACATTTAAACATGTGCTATCGATAATCTTGTTAATTAATCGGTATTAACAGATAAGTAAATACAATTAGTATTAAGAAATGTAACAATAATCTTTGTTCTATCTTTGTTGACACTATGAAAGAAGTATTTCATACTTACACGTTAACCTGGTGTAAGTTGAAAGATCTTGTTACTTTGTTATGTTTCTGTAATGTGAATCCTGTGAATAGCAGGTTATTCATACCTTGTGTAGTTATATGTCGAACGTGTATATGTATACTGTTTCTATCTCGATGCCTGGATCATTCCTTACTAACCAGTTTTTAATTTAATTATAGATGTCACACTACGACAGAAATACCAATGCACAAAGGCCTGTGGTGATTGATTATGAACGCCAGTTCCAAGAAGATCTGGAGCGTGCTCAAGCACTGAGCCTGGAGAGCCTTGCTTTAGAAAAATTTAAATTGCAAAAGCAACGTTCTGAGTGTAATAATAGTCAACAGCAATGTGCACCACAGAGTGAGATAAGTAAAGGAAATAATACTGTACATAGTAGTTCATCAGAAAAGGACAACACATCGCAAACTGAAAAGTAAAATGTTACATATTATAGTAGTGACATTGGTAATACGTGTTTTCTAACGAGAAGAGCTTGTAGATTTCAGTGTAGAAGTAGACCGAGGCCTGGTTGTTTCAATACCAGTCAATCTAACAATGCTGTGATATTAGCTCCACCACCAGTTCCATCTAGAAGAAATTCGACAACGGCTGCGACGAGCCAAGAGCATACTGTCGATCTGATTAATTTTACAGTTCCAGTGAAGCAGGATAATCTAAGCGATTACTGTTCACCTCCACCTCCACCTCCGTAAGAACAGTTCAATTACGAATCGTATGCACTGATTCGTTGAGTACAATTGTTACTTTGTAACAGGAAATCATGTGTAGAACCGAAATGGGAGACCCACCCGTCATTATTGAGGAAGCAGGGAAAAATATCGAGGAGCAGCAGTTCTGCGAGTTACCACTCTAAAGATTTCCGGTATCAATCCCTTTCTCCAGGCCCCAGGTCTTCCACTGCACCATGCACGCCAGGAACTCCGAAAATTAGTCCTGTCATGTCAAGATCCAGTAGTATTAGCAGCAATGTACCTGATGCAACACCACAAGTAAGCGACAACTTACAAATATCAATAATTAAAAGTGCTGAGAATGAATGGTTCCTTCTTCCTTTTTTGTTTCATTATAACAATTGATGTACAATTCTTATTCCAGCCTGCATGGAATCTTAATGATTTTAAAATTTATTTTCTTACTCAGGTATATATTAAATAGAAGTGGCTTGCTTTCAATACCCGTTTGATAATATTATGTTTTCATTAGTGGACGTTAATAATTTTAATATAAGATAGCACTTGCTATTTTGTATATAAATATATAATGAATTTTCTTTCTTACAGATACCTCCGTTACCTATGAATTACAGACCGAGTATTACCCCCGCACGTGGTGTTCAGAAACCTACATTTTCTACGGATGACGAGCAGCTAAACGTATTAAAAGTGATAGAAAAGAAGCCAAATAATAATCTTATAGACTTGAGTTCGTTCGACAAAGTAGAAGATAAAACGAACGTTCGTGTTAGTGTACTAGAAGCGTTCGATCCTTTACTCGTTAAGACTGAAGATCAGAACGACAGTGTACAAGTGCAGAAAGATGGTAACATCCACTGATATCAGTAATTAAAAATTGAATGAAATGATCACGCGAATATATAAAATGTACATCTTTTTGTCTTTGAACAGAGATGCAATCGCAAGTGAGTGGATCAATGTACGATCCGTTCGATCCCTTTGATTACATGTATAGCACAAACGAAAGCGTTAATTCGGATCCCGTCTACGTTGCTGTTGAGAAGTCCGCCAAATCTCCAGCCGTGTCCCCAGCGGCTCCACCGCCTTTACCTCCTAGAAATTCGTCAGCATGGAATACCATTGAGCGAAGAAGAACTTCTCTAGATAGAAGAGTAAATATCCTCAATAATTAAATAATCAGAATACATGCAATTTTAATTAATGTGAATTTGTTATTACAGAAACGTCAGGCGCGCTTGTATGAAAATTTGACGGTACGGAAGACCAGTCCGTCGCTTCAGGATTGCGATCTTAGATCTTTTCACGAAATGATGAAGTCCGTACGAAGTTAGTAAGACACAAACAATTAATCGTTTCAATTAAGATTCGAGATTGTCAATACGAAACGTATTTTTAGGCGAATTTCCATTTAATGATCCGAGTACAAACCTTGGCCACGTGATCAGCCCGATGATGGAGAACTTGTATCCTGAAGGTACAAGTATTAAGTTAGTTGTACATCCACAGTTAATGGGTTCCGATGAAAGTACTCCGTCCATTTCATTTACGTGCGATGGTGAGACTACGATACGTGCAATTTATAATTCAAACTTCAGTAAGCAGATTATCAATTTCATATATGATTTCGTTTTCAGTAAACTGTAGTGTCGAGCATGTTATTCTTAATGTTGCTTGTTCGTTAGAAGACGAAGGTACAGTGAACATAGAAAAATATTGTTTGAGAGTATGGGGACTAGCAGAGTATCTAGCATCGAACACGACATTAGCTCAATACGAATATATACACCAATGTATCAAATTAGAAAAAGATATCGAGCTAGCTATTCTAACTAAAGTGCAGATAAAACGATCCATAGCGAGAACAGTAAGTACTTTATTGAAGATTAGAATTACAGTGGTCGATTGTTTGTATTACAATCTAAAGTTTTTCTTAGCTTCAAGATGACAATCGTGACGAGTGTCTCAAGTTAGAAGATATTCTTCCGAACGAACCAGTACAACCTATTTCATACGATACGCTTCTTATTTTATTAGGTATGTCTTCAGAGAATATTTAAAGAAATATCGAACAATGTCAATCATAAATATTTGCATAAATTGCAGAGACTGTGGAGAAGGAAATGGAGCGTGTAGAAACCGCTGCGATACAATTAGCGACTACCAATCACGGTTCCAGTCTTTTACCCCAGCTGCAACCCCGCGGTGTCGTGCAAGCCGTGAAAGCGATATGCGCGTTAATGGGGAACATCGAGACGTTCGAAATTACGGAGGCCGTCGATAATTTCGTAAATGCATGTTGTCAATTTTTGCCTCAAGTTCATACGACTAACATCGAGTGCAAGAAACCGGAAATATTGCACGAGGACGGCGACTACTCCGTTGTCACATTGAGGACAAAATTCCCAGACGTCATCGCGTCGCACTGTCGGAAGATCCGCGATGCTATACAAGATCTGGTCGAAACATATTGCCATGCCTTCAGGGTTGACTTTGAATTAAATACCAGGGCCGAATTTCTTGCAAGTAAGGAATACTGCATTAACGAGACACGATGAAGTTTAGATAAAATAAATTTCTTTTTATAATCTATTTTAATTATAATAGATTCACTGATTTCGTCTGAAGTACTGGACACTATTTTGGTTCGTGTTGGGGCATTGCACAGATTGCCAGGATCCTGGAAGCATGATGATTATATCGTTGCAGCTCAGATATTTCACGGAACGAGACCTGTTGGAAATCCAGTTTTATCTGAACCAATGACAGTCAGCTCTAATTTTTATCCAAGAATCTTATTTAACTCCTGGTAATTTTTTCAATTTATTGTATTAGAGGTATCTCTTAATTTTCAAATCTAAATTGTATTCTATTTCGAATTGAAGGATGGAATTCCGCGGGACAAGTGTGTGTCAAGTACCTAGGGAAGCTCGATTAGTTCTAGTTTTGTACGGCCGCACGTTGCAACCTACCGAGCACGAGTCTAATTCATCGACTGAAAATACTATGCAAAAGGAGGAATTAGGATGGGGAGCTATACAGTTCTTTGATTATGAAGGGTAATTACGTTTATTAAATCCTAACTTATATCATGTAATTTATTGTCTCTCATTCATTTCAGAGTTATGAGTCAGGGAAGCTTCTTTTTATCATTGTGGCCTGCAATCGCTGACAAAAGATTAGGTCCGGCGCCAGCGGCAGGAATCCATCCTCACGGGGATACACATGCTATTATTGGAATAGAATTACCTGATTACGGAGGGAGAGTATTATTCCCGACTGAATTACGCGACTTCGATGTAGAATCTCTTGATTTCAACTCTTTGGATCAGAATACGCAAGAATTGTTGATAGACATCACTCAACAAAACACGTTCTCAAGGTACGTACTCTTATGATTCGAAAGCAAATTATAAATCATTAATTTGCTTCTTTTTCTGAATAGACCTCTCATCGAAGAACGGGAAATTCTGTGGGAGAAACGTCATTACCTGCACGATAGACCCGAAGCTTTGCCTAAAGTTCTTTTAGCTGCTCACAGTTGGGATTGGGCATGTTTACCCGATCTTCATGCGTCGCTGAGAGTCTGGTGTCCCTTGCCACCGGTTCAAGCCTTACAATTATTATTACCCTGGTAATTTAATATTCTCAGTCCAGAGGCGAGGTTTAATTGACAGTTTTAATCAACGATAGCTATGTTACAGTTTCCCAGATATGAAAGTTAGAGAAATGGCAGTTGTATGGATTCGAGAGTTGAGTAACGACGAACTCGTAGATTATTTGCCACAGCTGTTACAAGCTCTGAAGCACGAAACGTACGAAACGTCTGCTCTCGCGAAATTCTTATTGGAACGATCCTTGCTCTCTCCACGCGTAGCGCATCACATTTACTGGCTCTTAACTCAAGCCCTGCCGGGACAGAGTCCCCAAAATTCCGCGGAAGCTATGCCAGAGGATGATAAGAACATCAGCTCGGCGCGTTACCACAGAAGATTACAATTAATACTACGAGCGTTACTGGCTGTCATTGGCGACGCGTTAAGGAACAGTTTCCTTACGCAGCAGTTGCTTGTTAAAAACTTGTACGAGATAGCTGAGAACATTAAACAAACGAAGGAATCGCTGCGAATGGACGCTCTTAAAGCCGGGTTACAGAACATACACTGTCAATTAATGGAAGACGAAGGCACGTGCTTGCCGCTGTCGCCGAGCAAACAGGTGTTCGGTATAAACGTGCAAAGCTGCTCTTATTTTCCCTCGTTCACGCTTCCGCTGAAAATCAATTTTGTCAGTTGCGACGACGTGATCTGTCCAGCGATCTTCAAAGTCGGAGACGATTTGCAGCAGGATATGCTAACTCTTCAAATGGTCCGTATTATGGACAAACTTTGGCTGAAAGAAGGCCTCGACTTGAAGATGGTGACATTTGTCTGCGTGCCCACTGGCCACAAACGGGGCATGATCGAGATGGTGACGAACGCGGAGACGTTAAGAAAGATACAAGTCGAGTTCGGTCTGACTGGATCCTTTAAGGATCGACCGATCGCTGAATGGTTGGCAAAACACAATCCCTCGGAATTGGAATATGAACGGGCTGTTGAGAATTTTACTGCGTCCTGCGCTGGCTACAGTGTCGCTACATACATTCTAGGAATTTGCGATAGACACAATGACAATATCATGCTGAAGACGTCGGGTCATTTGTTCCACATTGACTTTGGGAAATTTTTGGGCGATGCGCAAATGTTCGGCAATTTTAAAAGGTAAATATATTTATTATAGTAGCCTGATATCTATGAATAAAAATGTTCTGTGTTTTAATCAGGGATAGAACACCGTTCGTTTTAACATCCGATATGGCTTATGTTATAAACGGCGGAGATAAGCCGTCGGCGAAGTTCCATCACTTCGTGGATTTGTGTTGTCAAGCATTCAACGTCGTACGAAAACATGGAAATTTAATTCTTCACCTCTTCGGATTGGTATGTGTTAAAAAATAAATGCAGAAATCTGATCGCTGGAAAACGAATCTATTTTATGCGACTTGTAGCGATAGAAGATTATTTTTAACTTGTAACGAGTAGGAAATATTATTCGAAACGAACCGCAACGGAAGGACTTATCCAGTTTTATCGGAAAGCGGTCCGTCTATCGTACGAAACAAACACATTGCGTAGTTAATTAGTGTTTATCGCCGGCCGACCTCTAAATATGAAAACAGTCGAGCAGTCTGACTCAGTTCGTAATAGGGAAAAGAAGTTGCGAACAATAATAACACGTTCGTAACGAAAACGTACACGGATTTTTTAAAAAGAGCTACCAAATTTTGAACATGGATGATCTATTGTCTCAGAAATCCAATATAACCGATTTGTGCAAATTACGTAGCGTAGAGCAAAAACTTAGCGACATCGAGGCCAAAGAATTAGTGAACAAGTCTAAGATGAACGATTACACGAATTCGCAGATGACCTCGTCCGGTATCCCTGGCGTCACCGTGGACGCGGTCAGTTACGTGCAAAAAGCTCTTCTCCCTGAGCAAACGAATCCCGAGGCGGCCGCGACGTTCGCCCGAATGATAGAAAGTTCGTTGAAGAGTTGGTTCACCCAGTTCAATTTCTTCTTGCACAATTTGGCGCAGCTCCGTTTTTCGGGCGACCACAACGACGGAGAATTATTATCTTTTATACCGCGCACATACACGTAAGTTTAATAATAAAAAAATGAATGTAAGAGTGGAATAATATTTTGCAAGAAGTGCATTGAACGAATTTTTCTTATTGCACTTTTGTCTTTGATTCTATATAAATAAATCTGATCATTGCAGGATGCAGCAAGAAGGTCAATTGACGAGCGTGCAAGTACACGGATATCAAAAGCGATACGATCCTGAAAAATATTACATGTACATTCTGCGCATACAGCGAAAAGGACACGCGGATCCGACTTACCTGTTCAGATCGTACAAAGAGTTTTGCGAATTCTATCAGAAACTGTGCATTCACTTCCCCCTCGCGAAACTTGCTAGGTGAGTAAAACACACGATTTATAATTTTATGTTTATATGTATAAGCTTCGTAATATAAAATGTAAAAGATACATATCACAATTTCTGGTTAGCGAGTGCTAATTATAATAATTAATTATCATATTAATTATCATATTTTACTACTTATGTGTTATCCATCGTTCATAGTAATCAAATTTTTGTACGAAGATTCTCAATTACTAAGATGTAGAATTTGAATGTTTAACATCACTATTCATCTGTTTCTTAAAATTTTCATACATATCCTTTTGTGCCTCGATTTGAGATATTTTTCGATAACATTCGGGTGTCGTCGATCGTTTTGACGAGTTCTCTTGCACAGAGATAAAACCTCGGAACCGTTTTAAAACCATCTTGTTACGTTCTTTTCTAGAATAATAGATTTTGTAAATGTACTCGATGATAATTGATGATGATATGTACGTACCTCTAGAACAACTTACGCAGTCTAAAATATTTTTGTTTTGTCCCGATTCGACACTTAAAAGACGCAATAGATTTTCACACTGCAGACAGTTTCAATAATTGTAACAAAGTGAGAACGCGGTTAATTATCACGCCTCTTCAAGGTAGATAGCCTGTAGATGTAGAATGATAACAGAGTTCAGGTGAAATCTTTTATTCAACTATCTAATCAGATGAAAATCTTCGATATGTAAAACACTATCAGTATTCGAGTCTGTAATAATGAATTGATTTTCACTCGTGGTTCCAATTGACTAACATCATTGATAATATCTGTTTAATAAATATCAGTGTATTCATGAAATTAATAATTCAACGATTATGTGTATTGATACAAATAAATTCTGATTGCAGTTTGCCAAGCGGTATAAGCGTTGGAAGATCTAACATAAAACAGGTTGCTGATAAACGGCGAGCGGACATCGAGAAATTCCTTGTCAGCTTGTTTAAAATGGCACCGGAAATTTCTCAGAGCGATTTAGTGTACACTTTCTTCCATCCCTTATTGAGGGATCAACAAAACGCTGACATACATCTACGGAAAGTAAAAGGTACCATCAGCTTCCCAAACAATGGTTGAATTAAAAATATTCCAGGTGTCTGATTGTGTCAATTATTCTTTTGAAATTAGTTGGCAATTGGTGGGTCGAGAAACCGGTAAGAGAGAACACACAAAGCGGGCAGATTAAAATGTCTCTTCATTACACGCGCGGTACATTTTACGTGATGATCCATCACGCGAGAGGCTTGCCCAAAGTGGCTAACGGCCAGGAGCCGAACACGTACGTCAAGGTTTATCTTAAACCTGATCCAACAAAGAAGACAAAGCGGAAAACGAAAGTGGTAAAGAAGAATTGTCATCCCTCCTTCATGGAAATGGTAAGTTAATCACAGTTCGACTTGGATCTAATCTTGTAAATGAAATCTGTAATCACATGTTTATTCGGCTGCAGCTGGAATATAGAATGGCTTTGGACGTTATCAAGGAGCGAACTTTGGAAGCCACAATATGGAACCATGATACTCTACAAGAAAACGAATTTCTCGGTGGGATTCGCTTACCGTTGGGACGATTTGATCTGACGACCGAAACGATTGAATGGTTCTCACTTGGCAGTGTTCGATGAACCAGCAATAATAAGATCTATCGATAATGCTCATGAAATTAAAGTACGAATTAACTTGGTTCGCACAATACTAATTATAGGGTTTTTATATTACGCACGCGATAGTGCAATAAGGAATAATAGAGCGTTCGCGCGTCACTGTCAAGGAAAATGACACATGGTATTGCGTTTAACGGAGACGCTTTTTCATAGGATTACTAACTAATATGATAACGCATAAACAGAAAGGGCATGTTTCATAAAATTATTCTGCTTTTACAAGAACAGTTGGATAGGAGGTTTCCACTTAGCCGAGTCCTTAATCGTAATAGAACTGGCAATACGATTCAGATTTTTATAAACACACGCTGAAAACACATAGAAATTTGATTTAAAACATTGAATCTGAATTTCAATGAAATTTGTTTGATAATTGAAAAGTTATCGGGCATCCTGAATCTGTTTGCAGAATTTCGCATGAAAAAAATTGTTCTATTTCTAGGAAGAATTACTTTTATCGTAATATTAATAGTTACAAATTAAAGATTTGTCACGCTACATTTTTGTAGCCGATCGAATGCAAGGTTTCCTAAATAATTATGCTATTAAACGATACTATGGAGTTTTATAGATATATAAATTTTACGTGGATATAAGTTATTCGCCTAAGTATATTGAACGAAGAAACATTTTGTACTTTCATATGAAGAGAATTTGAGAATTATATATAAAAGAATAATCAAAATATATCTATCTATATACAAAGGAACGCGAATGTAAGAGGAAATTTTAGACATTTTTTTCGTATCGCTCGAAGAAGAGGAATGAGATTATGTAAATATGCTTTAGAATTCGAAAGTGCATCGTCGTAATCATTTTACATACTTCGTGAATGCAGCATATCATTTTCTTAAGTGAACAGTATAAAAATCATGACAGAAATGAAGGTTCTTGTTAAGGATGTATTGGCTATACAGTCAATCCCAAAAGTTTATGCACTTTAGAAATGCATTTTTTAAAAGGAAATCAGACGTCGGAAGAACATTAC